CATCTCAGCGATCTCATAGGTCTCGTCATCAAGATCTGTCACCACGTCCACCTTTTGGTTTGTGAGTTCCAACCTCTCCACCTTTAATGAGACAAAGTGGATGAAAAGCTGGTGATCATAGTTCCTGCTGGAATGGAGGTGGGCGACAACCCACTTGACCCATTGTTGGTCAGTGTTCCACATTTCAAGGAATGTTTTTCCTCTGGCCTTGACACCGAAAGCCACGGTCATTCTGCCAAGCTCGTCTAACGAGTATTCCGAGGCAGCTTTTCGGGGCTTCTCACTCTTCTGAGAGACCTTTTGAACTGCCTTCAGCCGATCAAGGAGGCTGGACATTGCACGTGACCACAGCCGAAGTCTAGCAAAAAAAGCTATGTGCTGCTCGAGTGCTTGAATCTGAAAAGGGGCCATGATCAGGGGTCGCTAGATGCACACCAACCATCACCAACCCATCTTCAACACATGCTTTTTCTTGCAGCACCTCTAGATCCCCCAGCCATTCCCCCACCTTGAGGCTACAAAATGGATGTTCACATGTCGGTGTTCTACAGAATGCATCTGATCCAATCACTGACATGCATTTCTTTGGGTGTCACCTCCAAAGTAATCGGAAAGAGCCTCAGCTGCAGGTTTCTTTCCGGCTTTTGCCTTCTTTTCAGAAGGCTCCTGGGGCAGCCATGGGCAGCCAAGGACGATCAATGACAATGCTCAACCGTAGAAGAAATCCTGGATTCAACATGTCTTCATGCTTTTGAAAAATGCCTTTCAAAACAATTTTGATATGTTTGGAAAATGAACTGATGAGTTGGAATGCATTGTCAAAAAAACACTGAAGATTCTAGAGGCAGAAACCAAAATGCTAAGTTCGAACATGTCAGCAAATGTTAGCGAATCTTAACGTTTTGCAACCACCAATGCCCAGCAAGATCCCTCACTCATTCCCCCACCTTGTGGCTACAAAATGGATGTTCACATGTCGGTGTTCTACAGAATGCATCTGATCCGATCACTGACATGCATTTCTTTGGGTGTCACCTCCAAAGTAATCGGAAAGAGCCTCAGCTGCAGGTTTCTTTCCGGCTTTTGCCTTCTTTTCAGAAGGCTCCTGGGGCAGCCATGGGCAGCCAAGGACGATCAATGACAATGCTCAACCGTAGAAGAAATCCTGGATTCAACATGTCTTCATGCTTTTGAAAAATGCCTTTCAAAACAATTTTGATATGTTTGGAAAATGAACTGATGAGTTGGAATGCATTGTCAAAAAAACACTGAAGATTCTAGAGGCAGAAACCAAAATGCTAAGTTCGAACATGTCAGCAAATGTTAGCGAATCTTAACGTTTTGCAACCACCAATGCCCAGCAAGATCCCTCACTCATTCCCCCACCTTGTGGCTACAAAATGGATGTTCACATGTCGGTGTTCTACAGAATGCATCTGATCCGATCACTGACATGCATTTCTTTGGGTGTCACCTCCAAAGTAATCGGAAAGAGCCTCAGCTGCAGGTTTCTTTCCGGCTTTTGCCTTCTTTTCAGAAGGCTCCTGAGGCAGCCATGGGCAGCCAAGGACGATCAATGACAATGCTCAACCGTAGAAGAAATTCTGGATTCAACATGTCTTCATGCTTTTGAAGAAATGCCAGTCAAAACAATTTGGATATGTTTGGAAAATTGATTGGTGAATTGAAATGATCACGTCATGTGTCCGGATGTCCTGAGATGTCAATATAGACAGATGTAACTTACAAAAAAAAAAGCATATGAACAGTTCATAACAGTTATATAAATCCTCTTCTGTTTCTTCTATTCAAAAACAACTACTTTTGAAGCCACACAGGGCATCACTGGGCCTCTTCTGCTGGACCTTCTGCTTCCACAGGCGCAGGCACAGAAGGAAGCTGTGGTGGGACCTGGCATCACTGTATCAAAATGGGAAAGAGACGGAAGGGGATTGGATGAAGATGGATAGAGAACATTTCAAGAATCTTGGGCATTTCCAGAATGGTCTCCATTCTGATCAAAGTTCATTTATAAAATTGTTGATTTTGAACATTTTTCGATGCTTTTCATAGAAGGGTCCAGGAGCATCTACGATATGAGATTCCAAAGCTGACCTGCTACAAAATGACTCTTAAAAATCCAAAAGGACCGGCTCGGATTCGGATGAGGGTTTCCTGAATTTTGCCTGAAGACCTCATGTCGATCTTATGGCACTCTGTATATCTCTGTATCAGGTCATGTGTCCGGATGTCCTGAGATGTCAATATAGACAGATGTATACTTCGAAAAAAAGAACATATCAACAGTTAATAACAGTTATATAAATCCTCTTCTGTTTCTTCTATTCAAAAACAACTACTTTCGAAGCCACACAGGGCATCACTGGGCCTTTTCTGCTGGACCTCCTGCTTCCACAGGCGCAGGCGCAGAAGAAAGCTCTGGTGGGACCTGGCATCACTGTATCAAAATGGGAAAGAGACGGAAGGGGATTGGATGAAGATGGATAGAGAACATTTCAAGAATCTTGGGCATTTCCAGAATGGTCTCCATTCTGATCAAAGTTCATTTATAAAATTGTTGATTTTGAACATTTTTCGATGCTTTTCATAGAAGGGTCCAGGAGCATCTACGATATGAGATTCCAAAGCTGACCTGCTACAAAATGACTCTTAAAAATCCAAAAACGCATCAAAGGAGAGTTGGACTGGCTCGAATGAGGGTTTCCTGAATTTTGCCTGAAGACCCCATGTCGATCTTATGGCACTCTGTATCATGTCATGTGTCCTGATGTCCTGAGATGTCCATATAGACTGATGATGACTGATTTATATTTCCAAAAAAAATGTAAATTAAAAATTATATATATATACTCTTGTGTTTCTTCTATTCGAATACAAAGACTTTCGAAGCCACACAGGGCCTCTTCTTTGGAAAATGAACTGATTAATTGGAATGCATTGTCAAAAAAAACACCGAAGATTCTAGAGGCAGAAACCAAAATGCTAAGTTCGAACATGTCAGCAAATGTTAGCGAATCTTAACGTTTTGCAACCACCAATGCCCAGCAAGATCCCTCACTCATTCCCCCACCTTGTGGCTACAAAATGGATGTTCACATGTCGGTGTTCTACAGAATGCATCTGATCCGATCACTGACATGCATTTCTTTGGGTGTCACCTCCAAAGTAATCGGAAAGAGCCTCAGCTGCAGGTTTCTTTCCGGCTTTTGCCTTCTTTTCAGAAGGCTCCTGAGGCAGCCATGGGCAGCCAAGGACGATCAATGACAATGCTCAACCGTAGAAGAAATCCTGGATTCAACATGTCTTCATGCTTTTGAAAAATGCCTTTCAAAACAATTTTGATATGTTTGGAAAATGAACTGATGAGTTGGAATGCATTGTCAACAAAAAAACTGAAGATTCTAGAGGCAGAAACCAAAATGCTAAGTTCGAACATGTCAGCAAATGTTAGCGAATCTTAACGTTTTGCAACCACCAATGCCCAGCAAGATCCCTCACTCATTCCCCCACCTTGTGGCTACAAAATGAATGTTCACATGGTGGTGTTCTACAGAATGCATTTGATTCCATGACTGAGATGTATTTCCTTTGGGTGTCATCCCCAAAATAATCGGAGAGAGCCTCTGCAACAGGTTTCTTTCCGGCCTTTGCCTTCTTTTCAGAAGGCTCCTGGGGCAGCCATGGGCAGCCAAGGACGATCAATGACAATGCTCAACCGTAGAAGAAATCCTGGATTCAACATGTCTTCATGCTTTTGAAGAAATGCCAGTCAAAACAATTTGGATATGTTTGGAAAATTGATTGGTGAATTGAAATGCATTGTCAACAACATTGAAAATTCTAGAGGCAGAAACCGAAATGCAGAGTCAATACATTTTAGCGAATGTTGGCGATTTGCAATCACCAATGCAAGATCCCTCACTCATTCCCCCACCTTGTGGTTACAAAATGGATGTTCACATGGTGGTGTTCTACAGAATGCATCTGATCCAATCACTGACATGCATTTCCTTTGGGTGTCACCTCCAAAGTAATCGGAAAGAGCCTCAGCTGCAGGTTTCTTGCTGCCTTTTGCGGGCCCCTTTGCGTTCTTTGCAATGTCCTGGGCAAAAATCAGTTTGGATATACCTGGGTGGATATGGAGGGTTTTGATGTCTGTCATCACGGTTCAGTTTTGTTCGATTTCAGAACCTCCATAAAAATCAGCACAAACATTTATAAACATACTGTATTGATGCGCATGGTTTGTGAATCACCTTCCCAAAGCCTTGTAAAGAAGAACGCGAGGAAAAGGTTGGTATGAAATGGTATGAACATGTATGAACTGGGCTGAATATGGTTGAATTGATATGACTGCTAAGATATATAGAGGATCGTAAACATCAGTGTAAGATTCTGCAGCCATTCCCACACCCTGCGACTACAAAATGAATGTTAACATGTCGATGTTCTACAGGATGCCTTTGTTGCATCTTGCTTCAAAAGAATCAATCTCGACGCTTTCATTGTCCATCGGCTGTGTCTGGAAACTCTGCAGTTAAGTTGCATTGTTAGAGTCGGCCTTCAACTTGGCCAATTCCTTGGCCTCAGCGGACTGGACAGTGTGCGTGAAAGATGCACAAAAGAAAATCCATAGCGATACATACCTGTAGATACATGCAGATAATATGCAGATACATGCAGGTACCATGATACCATAACAATCCTCAACAGCAATTTTGATGCCGATGCAAATCTTCAAAGCATCACCCATGCTGAAAAGGCTGAAAAAGGATGAAAAAGGTATAACAAAATATAAAGGTTACTATCCATGACTATCCCAGTCATTGGATTCATCCGAAACCCTCAAATCCCCAAATTCTCTCTTTGTCAGATGTTAGCTGCCTGATTCGCGCACTTTCTTCAGACTGATGTGATGGAAACAGCAAGTCGACAGCCATGTTGCGGCCAGCTTGGAGCAAGGCTCAATGGTTGCGTGCTCAGGCTCCCTCTGCTGCTTTTGCAGCTAGGCGAGCCGATCTTCTCACTGCTACACAAAGCTTGTGGCCCCTGTGAACTTTTTTTGGTCGCAGCTGTCTCTGCTGATTTCTGCCAGCTGATTTGGAATGAGGTGGCTTTCTGCCACCTGGTTTGGAATGAGGTGCCTTTGGAACAGCCTCGTCAAGGTTTCTGTTCTCCCAGCAGCCTCGCACCGCCCTACAGAATGTTCGAGTGAACGTTGCTGTCAGGGGCAGATCAGGTCCACCTTGCCAGCCAATCGACCCATCTGGTCGGTGGACTTTCACGTGGTATACCTAGGTGGGACATGGTGGGACAAGGTTGCAGGGATAACAAGAAACAAAAAGAAACAAAATACATATCTACAAAAAGACTGTTCAAAGCAGTAGTCTTACAAAATGGCAGGGGTCTGGCAATATCTTGTGATAGATTGTCCCAATGCCTCCATGATTTTTGACTGATGTTACCTACAAAATGATGTTCTGGATTATTCTGGGCACTCTAGGTTTTGATCGTCTGCGCTGCCGGCGATCGAAGCGATCCTGGATCATCTTCCTGTCCTTTTTGGTCATTGTCCTTGTTAAACTGCTCAAACTCCTCAGGGAACTATTCAGGGCTGAATAGCATATCACAGAGCGAAGGGATCCCGAAAGTGAACCCAGAATAACCCAGATACAAACAAACTACATGTCCATCATGATCCATCACCCCAAATCCTCATGTTCGTCAAGAGGTGGCTGCACTTGCACAAGTCGTGATTGAAAAAACCCATGTGGGTTTTGACAATGTAGAGCTTGAAAATGCCAATCAAGGAGACGAAGAACAGTTGTTTAAACCCCCACGAGCTACATGGCTGTTCAACCATCAGTCGCAGAGTTGGGGTATTTTGCAAGACCAGCATCAAAAACATCACCTGGGCAGGTCTTGAAGTCCAGAAGTGCCATTCTGTAGGTGTCCCATGATGCACGAACATTTTGTAGGGAAATGATCTGATGCATGTTGATGAACCAGAATTCACATGAATTCACTAAATAAAGTTTGGATCACGTAAAGGGATGCAACAGGGTGTCAATGAAATTGAAACAGAATGGTGGATCGTGGTGGGAACAGCATGAAACACCACGACATGCCCAAAAAGCAAAAGATTCGAGCTGTAGAAATCTTGAAGAATCCGAGTGACGAAACTACCCCATATTCTTTGGGCCAGTCTCACCTTGTAATTGGCAAGATTGCCACAAGGGTGCAGCTTTGTGCGTTTATGCACAGAGCTGCTAGCAGCTGTAAAAAGACTGCATGGTGGAGCCCCTGCGATAAGCCCTTCTGGATGGAGCCTACGGGAGAAGACCCAAGTGCCCAACTGATCCCAACTGTTTTTTAAGAATCCTTTAGCTTCATTCAACTGCATAAACCAGCAAAAACAAACACAATACAGTGCCAATCAAGCCTTTATGCATGCCTATGCATGCGTGATGGTCTATGTATGTGTGTATATGATTACGTATGTGTGTGGGTGTGCAATGCCCTCCCCATCTCTCCCCCACACTTTTTCCAAAGTATTTTGATATCAAGTTGCCTCGCGGCCTTCTCAAGAAGCACCTTGAAACCCGATTCACTGGTAATGTCATGTGTCTTGCTGAGCTTGATGTCGTAGCTAAAACCTACGAATCCTTTCTCCTCAAACGCTGACTGCATGCGGCAGGAGACGCCAAAAACATCTAGAACATGTAGGGTCTTTGGAGCCCTGGAAGCCACGTCCAGGAACTTTTGCAATTCCACCACATGTTTCTCTGGAGCGTACCACCTGGGCTATGTGGACGTTCTGCCATTTTCAAATTTGCATTATCATTTTATAGCAACAAAAACCATGCTCTTGGATTTTGTAGGTACTTGGAGGGGCCCAAAGTGCTATCATCATACAATATATATATATATAACATATACATATATATATATACGTATATATACATATATATAGAATTTATTTTCTTTGTTCATTTTGTGATATTTTGTGCATCATCATGCCAACAAATTTTACTTGCAGCCAACACGCTCTGACTCATCGAGCAAACAAGTCGTGTCATCATCAAGACGGGGTGCGGCAAAAACCGAAGCCGCGCTGATCAAAAGCACAAGGATGGAAGACCGCATGGTCCCAGCACCCGATGGCTAATGACACTCCAAAATACAGCTTAACAGAATCTGTCGACAACATCAGGTGTTGGGAGGTTTGAGCCAAGAAATATGGTCACAAATCCCAGTGGTGAAATTGCATTTTGTAGCATCCACCTCTTGAAACTCATTTTGTAGTGTGCACATTTGTGCACTGCAATCATCCAAAACAACACTTTTATGAAAAACATGCGCGGTATTGCGCGGTCTTGGCCAGTCATATCTCGCCATTAAGTTGACACTTCAACCCTGCCCACCAACGGACACCATTTATCAATGACGCCAAGAGACGGAAAATGATGGTCGGTCTTCGTTGATGCGGGAAGTTGACTGCCAAGTCTTCTCTTCCCTGAGAGCGGTGGGGAAAACATGGGAAAACAGCATAGTAAAGTGACAGGGCGATACAGGGCGTCCTTCAGCGAATGCCCACTCCAAACCCCGAATGCCTTCATCCCTGCTGGATGCTTCCAAGGAACTCATCCCAAAAAGCCTGATGATAGCTTCCCCCCTTGTAGGCCATCTTGCAACGAGAAACTTAGTTCATCTCGAACATTGACCGTGATTTTCATGGATAGCCATGGGTGGTCATGGATGACGAAAGCAAAAGGATCCAAACGTTTCCGAAACATTTCGAACCTTTTGCGCTTGATGACATTTCGAACACTTTTGAAAAGATTTGAGCACAACTTAACACATATGAACACTATGTTTTTTGCAAGTGGCCCCAAGTTTGCCTTTTCTCCTCCCACCATGGCGCGCACATATCCTCTGTGCATTTCCCGACTTTGCACAGGCCCCACAAGCCTGGAGGAGGCTTTGAGGAAGTAGTCATCTCTCACCAAAATGGCAAGCTCTCAGCCAAAAAACGGGCTTGCGATGGCGGGCGTGGAAACATTAACATGCTAGTTATTGTCTGAAGGGCAACTAGGTTTGCTACAAAATGAGATTGGGTTTTCACATGTTGCCTTCCGAAGGGCAACTTACCCTGCTACAAAATGAGATTGGGTTTTTACATGTTGTCTTCCGATGGGCAAATTCCCTTGCTACAAAATGACTTTCGATTTTTAAAGGTCTCTCAACTACCGAAACGTTGAAAATGCATAAAATGCAATTCCCAAGCTCTTGGTACAAAATGCCTGGCCCAACCCCATTTTTTCATCTTATTTTAAGCCTGGCAAGGCCTTGAAACGGGGCACAAGGCCTCCCATTCTGTAGTGGAAATTCGAACGGGGATCCGTATACCCTATTTTCAGACACACCCTTTTGATTTTGACTCAACCAAGGCGTGTATCTGGGTAGAGGACCGGAAGCACAATCTTGCCAGTGTAAATACCTCAAAAGCGACACTAACGGGAAGCCGGCGACACGACTTGGACGCTGCGATTCCGGGTCCGCGCCTCCTTCAAAATCCGTTTCAGGTGGTCCGCGAACGGCAAACTTAGTTCCACAACGATCGGTATGGGTCAAATTGGGAGTTCAATCAACCCACACAAACTTGGCCCATTTCTGTTGAGGTATCGGTTTGTCAGGTACATAACCCTTGACTCATCTGGAGTATGACACGTTCCAGCTTGCAACTGTTGAGGTCCATGCGATCCACTCAAAGAGGTCATCAGTTGCTGGTCCCGCAGTCCTCACAGCTTGGTTTCAGTTGGGTATGGCATGGTTCAAAAAGAGAATGGAAAGGGACAACAAGTGCTGTGATTGCTGTGGTCATATTTTAGTCGATTTTAGTCGCATGTGACTACATATACTCACACATCTATATGGGACTTTGATAATTTTGAGTTGTTTGTTTCTGTTGCTCCCACTACATCTCGCCCAGTCCAGTGTCGCGATGGAGATTCACAGATCTCCTTGAGTTCTCTTTGGATGCGCCTTAGGGATATCCCCACAAGGATCCACCAACATTCAGCAGCTCAGCAGAAAGTTGAAAGCTCAACATCCATCATGGACGCATCATGCCTCCCATCAAAATTACAGAAAGATCATAAAATAATCCTGTCAATAATCAAAAAATATGAAAAACCACCACATAAACTCTCAGCAACCATTTATCATCGTCCAAAACGCCATTGAGTTCTTATTATTCCCCAATTTAACCATACAACATCATCCTTAATCCTCCATAAAATACCTCTAAAATTTCAATATATTAGAGTAGAACTAAAAAGCAAATACACAAATATCATGTATATATACAATATCATTACCCAATGGTATAATCATTCATAAATCATTGGTAACCATTCATATACTATAGATGTCTATAGATATTCATATACTATATAGTACTATATCTATGGAATTTCATATACTATAGATATATCCCTTAGATATCTAAAGACATTAACCATTCATATATAGATATCTATAGATATCTAATGGATATACCACATGTTTTTTTCCCCAGCCGTCCCTGCGACCGCGGAGCTTGATGGAGGACGTGGACCCCGTGGAGCTGCCGGCCTTCGGCATCCCGGCGCCGAAGTGCGCCATGGCTTCGCCAAACGACGACCGACGGGGAGGATGGGGACGGGGCCAGAATTCCCCCAAAAGCTGTGGAAAATCCCATGGAAAATTTATGAAAATCTTGAAGTGACTGTTAGTATATTGACATGTTGAAAAATTTACTCGATGTTGGTTGTTCATGAGTCGAATTAGCTGTGGAACCATGAGAGTGCCACGACGCGAACTGTGCTGTGCAGCAAATTTGTTTGTTGCCAACATCGGTGTTTGATGTCACTTGGAGAAGGAGCATGATAAATCTGAAGGATGCAATGCCAAGCTCATACCATGAGCAACATTTTGCTGCCCGGAGTTTCGCGTTCAAGCGAAAAAGCAGACGGTCAGGAGTGGTCTACGTGACACTACACACACAAAACATTGGGCACATCTCCGCACCACTGTAAAAAAAAATACAAAGAAAGCCTTGAATTGCTGAAAATATCTAAAAATGACCCAAGCGGATGCTGTAGACAAGGAAAAAATAGAGATTCAGCTGAAAACGCCATTGCATGATGCAGATGTGCGACCACAAATCTCTGCAGGGGCTTGCCCCTGAATTTGATGCAAACTGAGACTCCAAGTGCTTCAGGCTTTTGCCACTGAGGAAAGCTCCTGACAAGCAACAACTCACAAGATGAAGTTCCAAAGATCTGGTCTTTTTGCTGGAAGCGGATCAAAGGTCCTACCAACATATCTTAACAGGAATCTCTAGCTGGTCAGCTTAGAGTCAACGCGTGTCAATGCTGCAACCTCCGCAAAGAAGAAGAGAATCTGACCCCACCAGTTTCCAGTGTCCTCTGCAAGAATTTGCGCTAGTCGTTGCCTGCTTTTCGGGGGATGCTGACCGTCTCATCATATGCTGCAAATTTGCACGCACAATGTGATATGCTTCAAGTAGAGGAAAAGGCACGACAGTAGTGAGTTTCTCTCGGGAAATCGCTTCGATGGCCTTACGGGAGAACAGTTTGAATCTAGGTGTTGCTCAGTTTCCCGTAGTTCAATGATGTTCAATGTAGTTTACCATCAAACTCTATTATGATATATTATGATACTATGGATGCCTGCGCTGTAGTCTTCTCTCTTCCTTTTGAATGCACCGTCTCTCATCATCGTTGGCCAAGACCTTGGAACTTGGAACTTTCGCTGTGTGAACTCGAAACGACATCACTGGGCTCCTGACTGTTGGTATTAAAACAGTAGCAGTCTCCGCAGTCTCCGCAGTCTCCGCAGTCTCCGTTCGGCTCTGAGTGAAAACATCCTGCCACTCCACATTGAGTCACTCATGAGTCTTGCACTGTCTTGCCTGCACAATATACTTGATGTGTTTCAAAAGTTTGACCATCAACATCAACGATCGTCCTCCTCCAAGCTCTCCGCAGTACTTTGGCGGGCTTCCACCACACCTTCCGCTGATGACGTGGCACCTTGACCGTCCTCATTGGTCGGAAGGCCACCTGGATCAGTGACAATGTCTAGGCTGAAATCCTCAAATCTTCCTGCAAGAATTCATAGTGTTTTTCACCATGTTTCACCAGTCAAGGCAAAGAAAAAGAATGGTGTATTGGGTGTGTATATATATATATACTGAACTATAATTATATGATATATATATGTGTGTGTGTTTAATTTATTTATTCATAATAATTGTATACATATATAAATATATAAACATACATACTAACAATATAATACTGGACCATCTGCCCAGTACTGTACCCACATAGAAATTCCACCTGGAAGATGATGCCGCTCCAACAACTCGCTGGTGATCTCACTCGCCAGGTGCGCCTGCAGTCAAGGCTGAGGTCTGATTTTAGAATATGTTAGATGAATATGGATGAATATGGATGAATATGGATGAATATGTTGGATGAATATGTTATATATGTTGGATGAATAGGTTAATCTGTGGTTAGGAATCCGGAAAAATATACTACCCTTTTTCTCAGAAGCTGTGTGCAAATTCTTTAAGGCTAGATGTTTAGTTTGTTTTGGGTAGTCCTGTTTGAAACGATAAAATTGGTCAATTGGTGCATTGCATATCTCCGTCCATTTTGGGGTGGTGATAATTTTGACCCATTCCCAGAATAAGTTTGACAAATGTCACAGCAAAAATCGATACTGGACCTAATCTAAACCGCGATCCACACCTTCCGGCCGGCTGTGCTGAGACGCAGCAAACGACAAAAGCCTGGCAAAATCATGCCGTTTGAATGTAACACGGTATCCAAAAAAAAATCTGGATCCAAATAAATTGATCCCAAAAATCCACAACTTGGTCCCAAAAAAAAAGGGTCCTTGTGGGAAAACTTGGGCCCTTGTCTTTGAACAGTTCCAAGATGTTCCAAGCTAGCCGGGGTGGCTTTTCAGCTCTACAGCCTTGAGCCTCTCAGCGATCATCCTCTGGAACTTCCGGCTCTTTTTCTCAGGAAATGGTCGGTTGAGGATCGCGTGCCCCAGCGGTTGCTGTG